TTTTTTTTCCTCATTGCACTCCCCGGGGAAGGAATCCCATGCAGTGACGTATGCTGGAGCGGGAGGGCTTCCCCAGAAGCTCGGCTCGGGGTTTCTCAGGGGAACTATGAAAGGTCAGTGTGAAAAACAAACGCCGAACAATCAAGACTGCGCGTCGACCGGTCAACAGCCGAGTGACCATACTGTAGCCGGAGGTGTAGCACCATTTTGTTTTAGCTAGTAGCAGACAYGACACGACGGATCTTCAACAGACACGATATTGGACAGTATGTGGGCCCACATCATGGATTCGGTGAAAGCAGCCATCAAGAAAACAAACTCAATTCCTGCTGTTRTTCCTGGAGGTACAACAAMGTTTTTACAACCCCTGGACATCAGTGTGAATCGTGCATTTAAAGCAGCACTCAGGGCTGAATGGAGGCTTGGATGACTGACGGAGATAAATCATTCACAAAAACTGGCCGAATGTGAAGAGCTTCATTTCCTGATGTCTACCAGTGGATCCTAACAGTGTGGAGCAGAGTGAATGAGTCCACCATCACCAGTGGGTTCTGAAAGGCTGGACTGCTACGTGAAGAAGACACCACAGCTTCAGAGCCAGCATTACCCCGGGAGGACAACAGATACCGCTGTGTGACGCAGCTTTTCTCAGCTTGTTTAACTCCGACACTGAACAGATACTGCTGTGTGACGCAGCTTTTCTCAGCTTGTTTAACTCCGACACTGAACAGATACTGCTGTGTGACGCAGCTTTTCTCAGCTTGTTTAAATCAACTTCAGATTAATTTATTAATCGATAACTTGCATCCCTAATTTATACAGGAATTAAATGAATTAATGATTTGGCTGATTAATCGATTAATCGAAAACAATAATCGTCAGATTAATGGATTATTAAAATAATCGTTAGTTGCTGCCCTACCAAACACCCATCTTTACAGTGACAGACAACTGAAGCCTTATTACGGGTCATTTGTGGGTTCTGTTTGTGACCAGTCTGAATCCAGTTACCTCAGCAGTGGTAATGTTTGCCCTCCAGTGGCCCAGGTTCTCACACCACCAGTCGGTCCGTGTTATATGCTGCTGAAGCTCACTGTGCTCCTTCTCCATGGCTCCGATTTCTTCTTTCAGTTTGCTGACAATCTACAAAGAAGAGTCACGCTGTGGTTAGAAGAAGAGCTGAAGCAAAGAAGAAGAGCTGAAGGAAAGAAGAGCTGAAGTAAAGAAGAAGAGCTGAAGTAAAGAAGAAGAGCTGAAGTAAAGAAGAGCTGAAGTAAAGAAGAAGAGCTGAAGTAAAGAAGAGCTGAAGTAAAGAAGAAGAGCTGAAGGAAAGAAGAGCTGAAGTAAAGAAGAGCTGAAATAAAGAAGAGCTGAAGTAAAGAAGAAGAGCTGAAGGAAAGAAGAGCTGAAGTAAAGAAGAAGAGCTGAAATAAAGAAGAGCTGAAATAAAGAAGAGCTGAAATAAAGAAGAGCTGAAATAAAGAAGAGCTGAAGTAAAGAAGAAGAGCTGAAGTAAAGAAGAAGAGCTGAAGTAAAGAAGAAGAGCTGAAGTAAAGAAGAGCTGAAGTAAAGAAGCAGAGCTGAAGTAAAGAAGCAGAGCTGAAGTAAAGAAGAAGAGCTGAAGTAAAGAAGAAGAGCTGAAGTAAAGCAGTGTTAGGAAGGACCTCAGGCCTGGTTTCTACCTTCTTGTCTGGTTTAGGAGCGTTCTGGATGGAGCCCAACGCCTGGCGCTTGTACTCCAGTTTGTCGTAAAGTTGGCAGAGCTTTGTAGCAGCATAGCTGGCCTGCTCATTGATTCCTTTAGTTCCTTCATCACACACATCTTCACCAGCATCCAGACCCTGGCCCTGCACACACACACACACAAAGAGAAGCAGGTTTGTTGACAAGGATAAACACATGTCTGCAGACAACATTGTGCGTGTGTAAATGGTTTTATTAAACATGTGTGTTGAGCTGACCACATCTCCTTTCTCCTCTGGGCTACCCTGGGACTGGCTGTGAGCCTCGTCTCGTCTCAGCCTGTGGTAGAGGTCAGAAACCAGGAAGGAGGGGTAGTAACGCTCCCTCATCGTCTCCGTCACCTGAGAGCAGTTAAACACAGCAGGTTTACAGAAACATGAGGGCCCAGGGAGGATTTATAACAAACAAAGCATCAGAACAAACTGAAACCAACAGAAAAGATGTTTTCCATGCACCCTTAGTGCTCCGCCTACATCTGACAGATCAGAGTCCTGAAAAGGATGAGATCAGTGCTGAGTGTTCCTGTTGGTTTCACAATTTAAGATTCATTTATCTGAATTACAATAAAAATAAAAAACTGTCTGATTTATTGTCCATTAGACATCAGATATTGTGTCTTGCAGACACGGCTGCATGATGTAAATGATATAAGCTCTGAACTGGGTAATATCACATGTGGAGTGCCTCAAGGTTCTGTACTTGGGCCAAAGTTATTCATTTTATAGGTGAATGGTTTAGTAAATGTGTCAGGGTTGTTCAAATGTGTTTTATTTTCAGACACTACATTTTTTTTTGTTTCGCTAAAAATATAGAACAGATGTTGGTAATGATGCAAACAGAATTTGCTAAAATACAAACATGGTTTAAACTTAATAAATTATCATTAAATTTAGATAAAACTAATTATATGATATTCAGTAACAGAAAGAAAACTGTTGATGTTCCGTTCAGTGTTGATGGTGTCGATAGCGGTAGAGTCAGTGAGGTTTCTGCTGTCATCACTGACGAGGGTCTGACATGGAGACCTCACATAAACCATTTAAGAACAAAAACAGCCAAATCCATTGCAGTGTTGTACAAAGTAAAGGACTTATTTAAAGATTAAGTACCGTTTATGTTGTATAATGCAATAACTGTTACACACTTAATTTATAGTGTTGATGTTTGGGGGAAAGCGTGTAAAACAATAACAAATCCTGTTTTTATTTGACAGAAAAGAGCTGTAAGAATTGTTAGAAGAAGACATTACTATCACTCCTCAAATTCACTGTTCCATCAGTTGAACTTATTGAAATTCTATGATTTGGTTGATTTTAGTATTTTATCAGTCATGTATAGGGCCAATAAAAATACATTACCTTTAAACATCCAGTTACATTTTGTTAAAAGAGTGAGTTGTTACAATTTGAGRGGGATTGAAATGTTTGTCAAACCTAAAGTTAGAACCAGTTTGAAGGAATGAAGTACTTCAGTCCAGGGAATTAAATTATGGAATAATCTGGAGGATAACGTTAAAAAACCCAGATCAATGTGTATATATAAGAAAATGATAAAGGTAAATCTGGTGGAGAAATATTTATGAGTATAAGTCATGAATTGTTACTCAAGAAGGAATTAAACCTTTGTTTTTTTGAATTTATTTAAGAAAAAGGGGCAGAAATCATAAGATTCTTTTCTTTTTCTGCTACATTTCATTTAATTTGATTTGGGGTTTTTTGTTGTTGTTTGTTGAATTTATGTTGTTTTGTTTTAAATGAATAAACTTCATAATAATTTTAAAAAATAATGTAAACTGCACATTTTTTCCTCCCATCCCCTGCTAGGAGCCCTCTTGTGCTTTACCCCCTGGAGGAGCTGGGGTCCTGCAGGATGTGTGCTCAGTATTGTGTGGTTGGTCAGAAGTTTGTGGGTGTGTTCCTGTGGGTGAACTACACTGCTCCGCTGTCCGAGGCTGTTAGAAAACAGTCATCTTTACAACAGGTTCAGCTAATCTTATAAAAAACAGTCAATTAAATCTTATAAGGATCATCAAAGAACTTGTGTAAGAACTTAGCACAACTGTTTGTGCACAGAGAAGACATTTATTGATTCAGTTTTGTGGGGTAGAGTTTAGTCTGTAGATGAATTAGCTCCAGGTTTACCTGCTCCTGCAGCCGGACAAACACCTGAGTTCCTCTGTTTCCCACCAGGCTCTGCTGGATCTCCTTCAGGAGAACCTTCTCCACTGGAATTTCTTTGCTCTCCACAAAGAACTTCTGATAGATTTCCCCAACAATCTGGGGCACCTCATTCTGCCAGATAAATAATAACAATTACCTCTTTAGAGTTGCATTTCCTCTGCTTTCACATACAAAACAACATGCAGTGCTTCACATGTAAACATCATTTAGCTGTAAGAATGTGCATAAAYTGCAGCATGAAATAATTACAGACACTAAACACTACAGCCTTGAACACAATTGGCATTCAGATTTTAGACACTGAATAGTGTAAAACCAGTTGATTTTAAAGAGTAGGACCCCTCTGAAACTGGCCTGGACAGCTCTTTAACAAGATGGAAATGTATTAATTAGTCTTGTTTTCAGTGGTGGGCAGCGCTAATCCAAAAATTAGTTCCAGAATTTCTAAAGCGCTTGTGAAAATATTTAGGTCCGCAACTTCAAAAACACTTTTGTCATAGAAAAATTAGCAGAAGCTAATTTTAAAGCACAAGTTCAATTTGACACTTAGTAGATGACAATTCATGTACAATATATGTACAACACTGCCAACTAGTGGTGTATGAACTCTTCTACAACTTAATCCTACAACCACTGATTGCTGGGGATGTGATTTCCTGAAACAGACCTTTAGCTCCTGGTGTAAAAATTTAAAAGTTGTTGAGGATTGTTAGTTCGGCTGCTTCTTTGTCTGTTGTAGATTTTTCATTAAAGAAGCATCAATAAAGTAATTAAAACTGTTTATTGGGAAAACTGAAGTGATGCATTCTGGGTACATGACGGATTTGATCTATGACGGGAAACGAAAGCACGAGTACAGGAAACTATCTTCCCTTCGAAATAAGAGCTTGGATTTTAAAGTTTTCCAATTCACCTGAAACTCCTCAGACTGAAGAAGTCTCTTGGAGGAAAGACAAAATGTTTCACTAAAGAAGAACCATCCAGAGGACCTACTGATTTTTTCTTTTTGATTTTTTCTACCTGGATTAGAAAGTTTTCCATGTAGTTGCTCCAGTTGACCACTAGATGTCAGTCTTCACCAGCATAACATCTTTAAATCATTTCTGAGTCTCTAACACCGTTGGCTGATTGCTTTAGAGCTCCAACATTTAAACTTTATTTTTTTTAAAAAGGAGCTCCGCTTGTAAAGTAAAATAAATCAATACATACAAAATTTTAGTATGGATTACAAACGTTGACTGTTTTTGCTGTTGCCTTCCTGCTACGTAAGCAGACACAAAGCATTGTGGGAAATCAGAACCGTGACCCAAAGCAACAGTCAGCAGGATGTGTACCTTCACAATAAGAGTGTTTATCTGGGAGGGGTGCTGTTGGATAGATCATGTGTTGTGATTCATTGACAGTCATACCTTCTGCTGTTCAACATAATGATGACTAGGAAAGCGTGATATAAACGATATACGGTAGAAACGATATAAATTTGTCCTATGATAGAGATCTGTAGTCTACCGGCCAACCGCGCAATAMTTTTTGATGACGTAACCAGCTGGAGTCAAAACAGAGGAAGCGGGAAGCAGCGTGGCTGAGAGCGCAAATGAAGAGGGGAAAAAAACATAACTTATCCGGACCACTGTTTACATGTTTACGTGATGGTGCGCCTGCAGTGGGAGGAGCGCGCCCCGCGGCACATGGTGATGCAGCGAGAYGACAGTCAGTGCAGGTGAAGTCAGTGCTAAGGTGGGATGCAGAAAAGCTCTCTGAGTCTGGACCTTGTTTCTCCTGCGGTCATAACGCAGTACTGTCTCCTTGTACAGYGCGGAAGAGCTGTGGGAAGGGCTGACAGACTGTCTTTCACAAAAAAATTAAAAAAAAATTTTTAAAAAGCATAAACGTGATGATTGTCACCCCGCCGGAGCGCGCACAGATTAAACACGTGGAGTGCAGAAAAAGTAATCTACAAAGTCTGTAGAAAGAATAAATATAAACAATTTGTTTTACCACCTTAAAACGAAGCAGGTGATTCCAAACACA